ATCCTGGTCCCTTGTTTCTCCTGCTTTATCTTGCTTCTTTGTGTGGACTGTGATGCTCTGTTGTCTTTGAGGCATTGTGACATTTTTGTGTTTATATTTAATTGGTCATTATATGTTGGAGTGACTTGCCCACAATTTTTGTTTACTTTGTATGTTATCTATAAAGCCAGGGTACTGTGTTGTGCTCTCTATTCATTAGTTGACAGCACTTATACACTCATCACCTGCCTCCTTTCCTGTTGTCAGCCTCTTGTATGTCTTTGCTGCCCCTGGCAAACAGAGCCTGTTCTTAGGTCCCTGGAATCCGAATGAGAGTGCTATCACTTTAAAATCCAAAATGGTTGCCACTTGTGAACATTCAAAATGGCTACACCCTCGGTCACTTTAAATATCCAAATGGCCGCCACTTATAAACATTCAAAATGGTTGTATCCTCAGTCACTTTAAATATCCAAAATGGTTGCCATGTGTAAACAATCAAAATGGCTGCACCCTCCGGACAGTAGAAAGTCCACAGCTCAGGTCATCTCCTTCCTTGCTGTTTCCTTTCCTAGTCATAGGCCATGAGAGCAGCTGTTCCTGCAGCCCTTGGTGACCAGGACTGATCTTTAGGTCAATTCTCAGGTTCCAATACCACTTGGAAATATTCAGCCTGTTGGTCTTGTCAGAGTAGCTGACAGTCTGCAGTTCTGACCATCTCTGTACTCCCTCTTTTCGTTCAGGTTTTTCCACTACTTGGTGACTAATCCACTTCTGTATAGTTCCTTTCAAAGCTCACGGTTCCAGGATTATATTCTGTATCTCTATCAATTGGTTTTTCTTCTCTTTGTTGAAGAGGGTCTGTGTCGCTTGTCTGCCTATTCCTCCATCTTACCTGAAGTCCCTTAATCTTTACTAACTTTTCCGTCCCAGGATCTCTCAATCTCTTTTCCCTTAGTTTAAATTGTGACTTCTCTTTTGGGTTCGAATATGAATAGTTCCCTTAGTTTGTCATGAGGTGTTTTATTGATAAAATTGGACATTTATCCCTCAAGAGAGTATTGTGCTATGATCTTTGACCTAAACACTGGCTCACTTGCTCCATCACATAGGCGCTTTATACATTTCTTGTCTTTATCAACCCTTTCTCTAATCTATTTTCTTTCACTGCTTCTAAATCTGAGGACCATGTGTTTAGCCAATTTTTTTTTTTGTTAGCATAGTCAGACCTCAATTATTTGCAGAATCTATATTTGTGAATTTACCTGTTTCTTGAAATTTGTTCATAACCCTAAAATAAATGCTTGTCCTGATTTTGTGGTCATCTGCAGATGTATGCAGAGAGGTAAAGCATTTGAATTGCCTAAACACACATTCTCATCTGAGATCTAACAAGGGCAAGGTCTGCCTTCCTGATCAGCTCTCATACCATAAACAAGTGTCCTTTTCATAATCTATTTAGTGCCACAATTTTTTTTTGTTTTGCATTTTTGAGCTTTTTGTTGGTGATATTTCTATTTAAATTGACTGTTAATCATAATTAAAGTGCTGTCTAGTGTTTCTAAGTAGAAGAAGAGTGATATGTGCCTTATGGAGTAAATATGTGTGCTACATAAACTTCATTTGAGCATTGGTTATTGTATGGTTGGTCATCAATAATCTACACTAAATAAGGTTTCTTCAAACAGATACATGTACACCATGTTCATTGCAGCACAAGTCACAATAGCAGGAAGATGTAAACAAGCTAAATGCCCATCAAGGATGAATGGATAAGCAAACTATGGTACAAACATACAATGGAATACTATGTAACGTTAAAAAACAATGATGAATCTGTAAAACATCTCACAACATGGTTGAACCTATAAGACTACTTGCTGAGTGAAATTAATCACTGACAGAAGGATAAATATTATATGACATCACTATTGTAAAAAGTCAAGAAAAGGTTTCACACCAAAGGAAATACTCTCTGATAGTTATCAAGGGTGGGAGGGGAAGGTGGGTAAGCCACAAACTAGAGGGTAGACACATATCACTTTGGTGGAGGGGGAGGCAATTAAAAGAAAAGAAAAAAAAAAAAAAAAAACCTGTGGACAGGACTCCTCAGCCCACAGAAAAATAAATAAAGTATCTTTAACAGAAATGCATAATGAGATTATGTGTTGGTTGATGGAAATGTTGTGACCAGAGGCTCGCAGTCATTTAACCTTGTATTTTCCCTAAAAGCAATAGTTTAGTATATGCTAATTCAGTGTTTGTGATGACTTTATAGAACAACCAGAATTGACCATATTTCTTTTTAAAGGAATTCAACCTCTGTTGCATGATACATTTAGATTCACTGGAACTCAGCATATATAGCCAATACTTTAAAACTTATTTTACAAAGTATTTTCTATATGATACTAATGGTAATGTTTGTATTTTATTTTATTTTTATATTTACGAAACAAATAAAACAAGACTTGATTAAATATAACCACTGTATTCCTCGGCCCATTAAATTGCTTAATAGTAAATGTAAGTAATTTGATGAAAATGTAGAAGATTTTGTCTAATATTATTTTACAAATATCTTGTTAGGAAAAGATGGGCCATTGAACCAAATCCATGATATAACTTAGGCCTGTGACATGCAAAGGACAAGATTGGGATCATATGAAGAATAACAGATTTGGGCAAAATAAGAATAAATAAAATTAAGAAAATATGTTTTACATGTATTTAAAGGATTGCACTTTCCTTCTTCATGGGCTCATATTTTTTAAATTTTTTTTATTTTTTTATACATTTTATTGAAATATAATTTATGTACAGTAAAATACACAAAAGTAAAGTGACATGGGTCAGTGCATTTTCTTTTTTCTTTTTTTTTTTTTTTTACAGTGTTTCATCCCCTCCCCTCCTATCCCTGGTAACTACCAAAAAAGTTTGCTTCCATATATAAACCTTTCCTTGACTTTTTACAATAATGAACTAATACTGTATTTGTCCTTCTGTGATTGAGTTATTTCAGTCAGCATAAACAGAAATATCAGGTTAAACATTGGCTAAATCTGTGGTATTTAATTCTACATGTCATTTATTTCAAGTGAGTCAGCTAAGTCAGTGTATTTTGAATGTGTTGTTGACTCACATTTCATTAACTTTCCATGTAGGTTCATTAAAAACAGTTGTTTGAATCCCTAGAATAATAATTAAATCATAATTTTTCTTAATTTTCAAATTATTGTTATGTGATATACAGATTAGTCATTGCCTGTTGTCTTTTTTTTTCTCCCCCCCAGTAAAAGAAGCCTTGACTCCTATCAAGTTTAACAGATGGGGTCTCCCAGAAGTAGATCCAGAAACTATGCAAACCAGTGAACCATGGGTATTTGCAGGTGGTGATGTGGTTGGTATGGCTAATACTACAGTGGAATCAGTCAATGATGGAAAGCAGGCTTCTTGGCATATTCACAGATATATACAAGTAAGAATTTATTCAATGTATTTATTTTTGTTATATATCCATAAAAAATGGTGAACAGGATAGTAGGATTGTTTGGTTTGATTGTAAATACATTGTGCATTTTTACTAGTAGAGTGCCATGAAGTTCTTGGTTCTGTTCTATTCAAAATATTTACCATGGGCTTAAAGACATAAATAATAACATTTATCAAATCTGGATGGTACACAGTATGACAGAAGGTTGAACCAATATTTGTAATAATCTTACATAGTGCAGAAAACTATTTTAGCTATCCATTTGGACCAGATGAGGTCTTACTCATTTCTCAAATTCTATTCACTTTAGTAGAAAGAAATATATGTTTTATGTATTTTAATTGTGATTTCTTTTATTACTTAATGTTATAACATCATTATAAAATATAAAAATTATAAAATTTAAAGTTATATATATGCTGGTACAGTGAGTGTATAATCTTGAGTGAAGAAAACCGTAACTACTAGATCTCCGTATTATTAGTTGTTGACTAAATGCTTCATTTTCTTCTGGTTCTATAGTTTAATTAAATGTAGGTACAGTAATGTTTACATAAAATATTTCCTGAAACGTTTACCCTTGTTAAAAATATTTGTATCTTTCTTTCCTATTCAGGAAAGACTTTCTACCCACAATATGCCTTCTGCCTTCCCTCTTTTCATTTCTTTCATTCGTTTTTCACAAGCTAACTAAATCTGCTCTGTCTTTAAAGTTTCCTAGAATACTTTCTTCCTCTTTGCCACACCATTTAGTCTATTGTGGTTATCTTCCTCCTACTTTTATAATTTACACAGTAAATAGGGCTTGGACTTGGCATTGATTGCATCATGTTTGATTACATTTAATTCACCTACCCACTCCCACCTTACTGCTGGCATTTCTTAGTAGTGGGTCTTGAGATTTTGGGGTCTGTCAGAATGTGGTATCCCCGAAATTTAGGGCTCTAGGATTGAGTGTAATCAGCCAATGGATTTTGCATATAGACAAAGTTGTGATTCAGAAAGCAGTATTTTGAGGTGATACAACATCTAAAAATAATAAATATTATTCAAATTAGTCTAAATTAAAAGAGATGAGACTACACAAAAACAGGAAAAAAGAGTGCAGTTTTAATATGCAGGAGCTTGGGAAGCCAGAGGAGGTAAGTTGAGAGTGACTTCACTTCCTTTTGCTTTGACTAAAGGACAACAGCTTCTGTGGTTTGGAGAGTCTCCGTGGCCTTAGAGATGCACAGAGACAACAGTTCAAGACAGTTACTTGGGGTGGAAAATTTGCTTTTTAACATTTTTTGATCTTTCTGTCCCAAGACCTGTCTATCCCCCTGTGTTCTTACTTTCTTATTTTACTTTTGTTTTTATTTCACTGTCAAGTGTCCAAATCATACCTCCTTCTGCATAACTCCCTCATGTACATCTCCAATAGAACTCTCTCTTCCATGATGAAGCTGTCCACTGAACAGCCTTACATGAAAGTTTTACTCACACTTCAAATTCATGGTTTTTAAATCAAACTCACTGTCACTTCTGTGGAGTCAGATCCAACTCATAGCAAACCTCCCTTTGAGTTTCTGAGGTGGTGTCTCTACAGAAGTAGATTGCCCCATCTTCCTTCAGAGGAGTAGCTGATGGGTTTGAGCCACAAGCCTTCTGGTTAGCAGTCAACTGCCTTAGGCATTATGCCACCAGAGCTCCTTTAAATCAAACATGGCCTCCTAAACTTCTTTCCTCTCCAATATTTAGCATCTCCGATTCCCAGCTGTAAACCCTGGAAGTTAATGGCCCAGATTTCTATACTTCTCAGCATAACACAGTTATCAAAATCATTTTGGGACCCAATATGAGGCTGACAGCTTCTTATTTTTACTGAGAAATATCATTAAAACAAACCATCAAAACAAAACTATAACATTATTAATGGATATCACCATGACCTTTAATGAGGAAAAAAAAAATAGGAAAGACACAGTCTCAGAATAAGTGATACTTCTCACAGAAGCAGAGTTGAGAGATTTATGCTGGTTTGTGTTTAGGCATGTATGTGTATGCACACACACATTTTTCTCATGAAAAACAGCACTGATATACATACTTATATTTATAAACTGTGTATATAAGTTTTGCTTTATCACTCCATCTCTCTTGTATGCATCTGGTAAACTTCTTCATATACTTATTTGAGTTTATTATTTATTGTATTCTGTTAGAACATTTGGTTGACCATACATCTCACTGACTAGCCTGTTAAGATTCTTGAAGAAGTGAAGGTAGAATCAGGAGATAAGATACTATTGTGCTGCACCAAATGAAGCCCTGGGTGTTAATTTGGTTTGCAGGAGTTAAAATGGTAGAAGGGAAAAGATGTTAAAGAGATCAGAAAAGTTAATACTGAAGATAGCTAATGTATAAAACTCCAAAAAACCAAACTCCCTGCTGTTAAGTCGCATCCGACTCATGGCGGCTCCTCCTTGGGTTTCTGAGGGGGGTATCACTACAGAAGTAGATTGTCCAATCTTCCTTCTGAGGAGTGGCTGGTGGGTTTGAACCACCAGACTTCTGGTTAGCAGTCAAATGCCTTAGGCACTATGCTACCAGAACTCTCATTAATGTATAAGTTGTTTTAATTTTTTTTCTAAATATTTAAATATGCATTTACCTTTTAAAATATAATACATAGAACATATTTTAATTATGATTTATGATGATTATGGTTTTATAGTGATTCACAGTTATCATCCTACAGAATTTTAAGGGCTTTTTCTTTTTACTTCATTTATTTTTTTACTTCCTTCAATCTAATAAATGAGAAAAAAACGAGTAATCATTTTATTTAGTTTCTACTCATGGAAGGAGAGAAAGAGACTTCTAGGTATGAAAAATATGCCCAGTCTTTAAAAATATATATTGCTAAGAAAGATAGTGTTTGAAATATAAAATAAAAAATTTGTGACCAGTTAAGAGATTTGAATTTGGCAGAAAGATTCAGACTTGTCAAACAAAGTGTTGAATTGCATTTTAAAAACTGGGTTGAGATGGAAGATAGGTAAAATCTCTGTCAAGTAAAATCAACACTTCCAACTTCCTGCCAGAGTGTTGGATGCAAAGTGCTAAGCAGTGATAAAACTATAAAGGAACATATGGACAAGTGGGATTTTTCTCTCTCCACACTGTATTAACTTGGTTCTGGCCTCAGTGATCTCTTGAAATTGCCTTCCCTTTCCCCTTTCTCTACTCTGATGCTCCTGCTCTGCTGCCAGAGTCATCTTTCAGGAATTCCACTTTGATCCCAGTTCCTCATTTAAAGCTCTTTAATGCCTTCTGTTTGCACTCAAGATAAAGCTCAAACTCCTTAGTTTGTGATGTCCATTTGAATGTCCTCAGTATGCCAACATTTCTCCTGAATATGGGTCTTCTTTTCTACTCTACACTTTTCATCTGACTGGATTCTCCTTGTCCTTCAGTTCTTGCCTCCTCCTCCCTCTCCAGGGAGCTGATGATAAATAAGTCCCTCCTGTGCGTTTGTAGCACTTGATTGGGGCCTGCTTCCTGGTCTATTCTCCAGTAAGTGACTAAGTGACTACGCTTGTTCATTGTTGTTGCCTCAAAATAAACATTCATGTTTAAATAGAGAAAAATGACTGACTGAGTTTTTACATTTTAAAAGAATTTAAAGAGATGTTAATAAAATTAAAAGGCTTGTTATATAAGTCCAATGGCATTGTAAATAAAATAGTGCTTTTTTACAAATATAGCATTTGTTGAGGGAAAAAAAAAACATCTATAATGTATAAAATATATTCATGAATGAAGTTTATTGCACCTTACCTCATATTGTGCGTTAATTTTTGGGAAATATGTAATAGTATACATTAAAAAATATTTTACAATAGTATAAATTCATGCATACAATCATTGCAATTGCATAGTTTGAATTCCTTTGTAACCTACATCTTCAGATAAATGTGATTATTTGAATAAAGACATTCATGTTGGGATTTCAGTAACTCCCACAGTTGTATGGAGAGAGCTTCACTTATATTTCATTAGTTGATTTGATCAATTACCACTTATTGAGTACCAGCTGTTGTGCCCAGTGCTCGACTTTGGGAGGGTACCAAAATGAGAACATGAGGAGAGGTATAGCATAGTGATGAGAAATTTGAGCTCTGAATTAAGCAGACCTGATTTCAAGCCTATTTCCAATTCTGTCAAACTGTTTGAGCTTCTGTGAGTTATTTCATCCCCCTAGGACATGGTTTTCTCAAAGGCAAATAAGTGACTTATTAACTAATAGGCAATAATAATTAAGAGTTCCTATCTCACCCCATTGTGTTGCTGGGAAGATTATGCAAGAGAATTTATGAAAAACTCTTAACACTGAGCCTGTTAAATAAATACTTGTTGTTTTCATTGTTGTGGCATACTAGAAAGAATTTTTTCTGAGTTGTTAAAAGAGATTAGGAAATAAATTTGTATAGAAACTGAAAGTATAGTATTTTAACATATGAAGATGAAAATAGGCCATTCCAGGTAAATAGAAAAGCATCTTTAGTCATTTATTCATCTGTATCTATGCATCCTTCTCTCCATCTATTCATGAAGTCATTCATGCATAGATTCATTTCTTCATTCATTCATTCCAAGGGAGACTTTCAATAAGCAAAGTATTAAAAGATAACTTAATCATGGATTTATAAATGTAAATTAAAACAGTGAAAGTTGTCATTAGGAATCTCATAGTGTAGTAGGAGAATCAGTTGTGTAAACATTAATCCAGTGCAATATAATAATTGCCATAATTAAAAACATGAAGGTACCAAGGTAACATGGAGGAGAAAATGATTGATCATGTCTGGATGTGGTTTCAGGATATGAAATTAGCAAAAGCAGTACAAATACAGAGGGAGGATAAGAAAAATTGGAGAAATACTTAATAATTTGATTTTGCTGGAATACGAAGAGGGCTGCTGAATAAGATTTTATAGGTA